GGTGAATATTTCAGTGAATGCGGCGCCACAAGTTACAGTTAAGATTCCGCCAGTGTGGAGTGTCAAAGAAGAGAAATAATATTCAGACTGTCTTTATTGGCCTCGGGAGGACAAGAAACCTGTTCCTGGGCAGCCCCTAACTTCTGCCTGACGGGTAAAACATATTTCCAGGTATTACTAGTAGTGTGGTGTGCTTGTGTTGGGCACACATGCAATATGGAACTCACATTATGAGTTCTTACAACTAAATTTTAAAAGAATGATAGATTTAGGCGGCCGTGTCTGGCAGTAAAATTATGATACTAATCTTCTGAGGAGACAGACTTGTTAACTGATTGTTGTGTTCATGTATCAAATAAACGATGAAGAAAGGAAATGTATCACTGGGATACACAGATCTGGTCGTCAGGACCACAATGGCAGACCAGCATCAGCTCAAGGCCTGAACAAAAGAAGTACGTACATGTAATAAGTGATCTCTCCACACCCACCTCACTTACACAACCAACAGATGGTTATCTTACAGCACTACACACACACACACACACACGATGTAGTGGAGGCAGTGATCCTTACATAGCTTTAAGAAGAGGTATGATAAAGCTCATGGAGCAGGAAGTGATCCAGTAGCGGCCAATGAAGAGGCGGGGCCAGGAGCTGTGAATCGACCGCTGGAACCATAACTAGGTGAGTGCACACACACAAACACACACAAGGTACGTAGAAGTATAGGAAAGAACGGCAGGTGAAGGGCGCGAGAAGTCAAGACTAATTTAGAAGAGGGGACTCTGAGGGTAATAAATACAACGCAGTGGGACGGAGAACTGGAAGGTAAGTTAGCGGATGAGACGAAGTCTCTAGCTCAGAAAATTATGTGGAAACGCAAGGACCGAGTCCTTGGTTTAACCAAAGATACAGAAGGGTATATTAAAAAAGAAAAGCATATGAGCGTGAAGAAACTACAGAAAGCGGGCACATGAGAATAGAGAAGTGAGCGAGTTAATGAGAAACGAACATGCTGGATGAGGAGAGAGGCTTAACGACAGTCAATTTGAGACTGACAGCAGCAAATGTTAAGTCTGAACCAAAACAACCGCGCCACATCAGAAGAAAGATAAGAGTAAAAGACCACGTAATTCGACTGAAGGAGGAAAGTTCATGAACAATGCCAAGGAAGCCTGTGAGGTGTTGATCAAATATTTTGAAGAGTCTTCTGTGTGGAAACAGGAGCAATACTAGAAAGACTAGGGTACACCGACAGGTACTGGATGTCATCCACAATACGGGGATATTTCAAAGGCAATTGGACCTCATAAGCTGTTACCATGAATTCTGCGAGAGGGAGCAGAAACACATGAATCTCTAGCTACGATTTACAACAAGTCAATGGATGCAGGACAGTTGCCAGAGATCTGGAAGACAGGGAATGTAGTCCCTACATATAAAGGAGAAAGACATGAAGCGCTGAACCACAGACCAGTTTCTCTGACATGCATACCTTGCAAGCTAATGGAAAAGATTATCAGGAGAGTGGTAGAATACTTAAAAGTGGCTTCATAAATAATACCAGAAAGGGTTCAGAGATGGCAAATCTTGTCTTATCAGTCTGTTAGTTCTATTAGAAAGTAACAGCTGAAAGACAGGAAAGAGAAGGGACTCCATTTTCTTATACTATAAGAAGGCATTTGATACCGTACCCCATAAGAGTCTGAGGCAAAAACTTGAGGTGCAGGCAGGAATAACAGGGAACGCATTCCAACGGATCAAAGAGTCCTTTAGAAAAGGAAGAAAAAGAGTGATTGTCAGGAAAGAGATGTCAGGATGAGGAAGAGCAACTAAGCAGGGTTCCACAAGGACCCGTATAAGGTTTCTAGTTTATTTGAATGACATTCCAGATGAGACTGAATCAGATGTATTCCTGTTTGATGATGATGTAAAGCTAATGAGGAAACTAATAACACGAGTACAGGGAAAAACTCCAACTGGATCTGGACAAACTGCAATATTGGTCAGATAAATAGATGCATTAATTCAACCCCAGTAAATGCAAGGTTATGAAGATTGGCGAAGGGCAAGACCTGACACGCAATATATTCGGGGGACAAAGACTGCAAGACCTCACCCATTGGGAAAGATTTAGGAGTGAGCCAATAAACGCCTAGTATACCGCCAGAGGTTCACATCAGCCGAATAACCTCTGCATCCAATGCCATCTGGCAAATCTTTTAGAGTAGCCTTTGGAAATCTCAGTAAAGAGTCATTTCCGGCCCTTTTACAACGTATGTCAGGCCCATCTTCGAGTATGCAGCACCAGTATGGAACCCACACCTGAAAAAGCATGTTAAGAAACTGAAGAAAGTGCAGAGGTTTGCACCGAATTTTGCTATGTTAAGGAGCATGAACTACCAGAAGAGGCTAGAGGAATTGTATGTAACGATACTGGAGGACAGAAGAACTAGGGAAGACATGATAACAACATGCAAAGTACTTAAAGAAATTGATAAGGTAGACGGGGATAAACTGAGGCGGGAAACCGGTACTCAGGGACACAGCTGTTACACACAGCCTCAGGGATGTCAGGAAATATTTCAACCTGAAGGTGGCGGGAAGTGCAATGATCTCGATGAAAAAGTGGTGAAGGCGGGCTCCATACATAGTTTTAAGAGCAGGTATGTCTTGGAGCCCATGAGGCTATAATGAAATGAATCTGGCAAATGGTAAGTTGAAGCGCAGAGCCAGGCGCTAAGACTCAACCTCTCGCAACTGTATATAGGTGAGTATACACACAAAGTATATTTTGTGTATATCTACTGTTCTTTAAACCTTGCATATAAATGTAAGAATCATCCACTTGAGTGACCATCCACAGTACGCGTCTCCAGATAAGATGTTATCAGGTGAGCTACAAAATATTGACCAATATTTGATTTTCTTCATTTATATAACCAACATTTATGAATAAAGGTGCTATATGCCTAATTAATTAACATATTTAATTTTTATACTACTTTCAATAATTTACTTTAACATAATGTAATTAAATATTTGAGATAAATGATACTTTAAAAATTTACTTTTATTTTGAGTTTTCCATATAAATACTACTAAATTATTTTAACATAGATACATGCAAGAGTTCTTAACATTAAATGCACTCATTGCGTTCAGTCTTATTGCTTGGCCTCAGTATGTTCACCAGAGTATTAATATCCATTCAGTATTATTATCATATTCATAGGTAAGCACTTAATTCGAAGGGGCCATAGAATGCCTAGAGAAGGGGAGGGAAACTCAAATTCCTTTTTTTAACAATCCTTCACCAATAAGTAGGCAACCTCTTCCATCTTGGAATATGGAGACATGAACGCCCCACATTATCTAAATGTGACCTTACTTAAAATTTAATACACTTGTAGTATAACCTTGGGACTCATTTCTTATACTTCTTGATACTAAGTTAGGCAGCCTGTTAACTTAAAGGCCAACACTTATGCACTCTTTCTTGCCTTGGCTTTAAATTTTGATTATATTCACGAGGCAAACTTTAACTCATAAGTGTCATGCATTGCTGGGAATGGGAGGGAATCAGGCTTGATGAAAGGAAGTAGGTTAGTATCTCCAATTGCTTGGATCAAAAGCCCCTCACAAGTATCACGACACCCTCCGTCAAGGGTGAATTCATTATGAGGAACACGACGCATAGTAAGGCGTCCTGCGACGCGCCGGCGAGTTCTCCAACCTGTTTGAAAAAGTTGTTTATGCTTGACAACACCTCGTTACATAGATTCCGAGAGATGTATATATATGCACAGAGAACACTAGGCATATTACCGAGGAGTGTATATCATGGTGGACCACAGTACGTTTCGGCATAAGACGTTTAAGCCAGGTTAGGATGCTTGTTAGTTTAATTTTGGTCAGGTTCAGTTAAGTTAGGCGTGTTGGTTAGGTAAAGTTAGGTCAGGTTCGGTCGCTAAGTCAGGTCAGTTTCGGTCGTTAGGTTAGGTTAAGTTAGGTCAGGTTTGGTCGTTAGGTTAAGTTAGGTCAAGTTCGGTCTTTAGGTTAAGTTAGGCTAGGTTCGGTCGTTAGGTTAAGTTAGGTCAGGCTCTGTCGTTAGGTTAGGCTAAGTTAGGTCAGGTTCTGTCGTTACGTTAGGTTAAGTTAGGTCAGGTTTGGTCGTTAGGTTATATGGATATCATGTTATTTCTACAGTACCGAAATATGCGCCCTCTCAAAAATATCAAACCGGATCAATTTCAAGGCTGAAACATCCTACATTCATTAAATACACTTTAAGTTTACTTTAATCCCGATTTTAGATATTAAAATATTTACTGGTGGAACAGTTTGCATGCAATCTCGTGCAATAAACCCTAAACCTAACATACTGCTAATCGTTAAAGGTTTACGACCTGTGTCAGGATAATTCTCCTGGCACAAGAACAAAAAAGTAAGTGAAACTCACAGTTATGTAACTCTTAAAAGAAAATCAGTAGATTATTAGTATAGTCAGAAAAACACAGTAAAAGCCTACGGGTCATTAACAGATAATTTGCAGAACAAAACCTCAAAAATATTATATTTCTTATTAAACAGTCTTAAACAAATTAAAAAAATAGTGAAAATTGGATCAAGTCTCATTCCCCCACGTACTGTATGACCCTTGTGGGTTTAACACTGCCCAATGTATATCATAATAATTCTCTAGAGATTGAGATGTACCGTGTGATAAGCAAAATAATTTTTTTTTTTATCAACAAAAAATTTTTTTTTGGGGTGAGTCAAACTCCAAACGACATCTCAATAAACATTTCTGTGAAATAAACTTCACATCACATTCTTGCAGTCCGATGTTAAAAACATAATGGTTCTATGGTGGTTTAGGAGCTATGAAAAAAAAAAAAGAATAGTTTCCGAGTATTCGTTGTTACGCGTGTGTGTGTGGGAGGCGGGGCCAGCATCTGCTGCCACGCCTATAACACTGGTATATATTAGTGGCCCTCGCTGCCAGGGAGTCAGTTGTGCACCAACACAAGTCTTAGTAGTACTCACGTGCACTCCCAACACCAGCGGCAGGAATTCCCACGTGTGGAGGCAGAAGAAGATTTCTTGTTGGCCTGTGTGGAGTGAGAAAGAATGCAGCTCTCTGTGACTCTCCTGGGCTGCCTGGCCGCCTGCGTCAGCGCCTTCCCCGTCATGTTTCTGGCTTATTCAGGTGAGATATGTTATGTGCTAGCACTCACACGTTGTAGAACGGCATTTTACTGGAACGACCGTTTCGGTTTGTGGAAAGCTTTTATCACGGCTTGATAAAGTTATACACAGCAAAACGTTGTCGCAGTGAAAGCTGTAACCTGTCTGTCTTACACCTGCCAGCATTACGTTATTTGACCCCAAGTAGCACTGAAGCATGCCTACTGGCCCATGCTAGGCACGTTAAATATTAAATCCCTGAGGACCAGGCAGCATACAAGGTGTGGTTGGTGGCTTGATTCACCGTCCACAAATCACGAGAAACTTTTTCCAATTTGCACTAACCTTTATTTTTTGTTTTTTGAGATCCTGCTCACATCCGCCCATTCTCACTCACGTATTTAATGCATTTATAAAACTGCCCGTGCGATCTCGGCTACAATAAAACTATTGATTCTTTCTGTATATGGTGTGTAAGACCTTTGTTGATTCCCATGAGCATATTATCTTTTCGTAAGTACACACTCCGAGTTTGAGTTGTATTGCTCAAGGCTGTTTAATGTTTGTGCTGTGTTCAGGGTTTTGTTTCTCATTGCTTGTGCTGTGTTGTTCAGGGATTTGTTGTCTCATGTTTCTACTGTGTCATGTTTTTCCTATGTTGTGTTATATTTTTATTATATTGTCTCTTCTTTGAACAAACATTTCACTCTGGAATAATAATAATAAAAGGGTAATCAAGTTTGATCCTTAAAAAAAGGGAATATTACTTCCAGTTCCTTGAATTAGGAGCCCGTCCTTCCCTTGAACTTACCGTGTGGATAATTATTCTTGTGTTTCAGCACCAGACTCGCTAGGATAAAAGCTATGCTTGTTATTTCCTGTTGGGATACTTTCCACATTATTTCTCTAAGTTGTTATTTATGTTTTTTGTGTTAGGATAATTTTCAGCTTTCTGCTCGCAGGCTGTATTTGCTGCCTCTCGTGGCAAGATGAACTATCAGGATTTTTCTTGGCTAAGTTATGCTTTACTTTTCGTTTAAGTATAATAAATACTAGACTGTTTTGGATATCAGGATAAGTGTAATGTTGCTGAAAAAACGTGGGTTACTCCATAAGTTATAATGTGTGTGTTGGTTATCAGTTGTCAAAGGCATTTGCCTCTCCCTCTATTTTTTTTTTTTTTTTGAGAGGGGATGGTTTGATGAATGAGCTAGAGTGAGATCTTGGTTATCACCCTCCCCCCTTTCCCCCTACTTATGATACAGTGCCACACATGATAATGGTGGCACTGTCGGCACCTGTCAGTCATTGTGATGGCATCATCTGCAGAAGGGAGAGAGATTGTTGAGATGAAGGTCAAAGCCCTCACTCCAGTGCTATACTAGACCAAGGCTACCTCGGAAACTGCTCCCCCAAGCTATTAAAATTTCCAGTGGGGGAGCACTAAATCCGTAGGGGCTATACAGAGTCAGGGTAATGGGAGGCAATCTGATTCGACCCAAGGAAAGGGATGATAGTTCCAATTCTTGATATCAAAAGCCTTCACCAGACTGAAGGCACCCCCCTTAAAGGGGTACGTCTCAGGCCCGTCATGAACCTGTTTCAAGGCCTTAACTTGTCCAAATAAGTGTGTTCTACATACTTGTACTCATCAATTTGTGGTTGCAGGGGTCGATTCACAGCTCCAGGCCCCTTCTCGTGCACATGTGTCTGTGTACACATACCTGTGTCTTTCAGCACTTACCCTTCTGAATTATCAAGCTGCGTGAATATCTTGTTAAAACAAAAGATTGTTTTGTTTTTTGTGTGATGTATAATAATGAGAAGACAGTTCAGCTGAATGTTAAAACCCACCTGCCTTCTGCTCCAAGTTGGGTCTGCTGTCTACAATCTACTTTCACTTCATTAACTCATAATTATTTTATTCGCTGGGAAGCAGTAAACATGTAAGAATCATGCAGTGCTTGATAAATGGGATTGGTGGGGGTAGGGTAGCTACAGTTACTAGGATAAGTTTTAGTTATAGTTTGCACATTCGTTATTCGTATATATCTGTTTTATATTGCACATTCACTATTTGTGTATACATATATTCAGTTAGGAGGGTATTTAATTTGATATCTTGTTATTTTAGTTTAATTTTGTGATATTCTGCTTGCCGATGCGGACTCATGATGCATCTTTGTAATATTTTATTACTGCCCACATGATGGCTATGGGGCGCATAATATATTAAACTAAGTAACAGATGCCCGTAAGGTAGTGAAGGTTATATGTTTATCAGCAAGCATCTTAACAGATTATATAACGGAGTATTAACATGGCAGAAGATAATGAAATGATTACAGGGGAGAGGGTATAGTAGTCCATCACCGTAATAAAGTTACCCATGGGGCGTCGAGTGGAGGGCGAGTCACCCCAGTACAGGCTGCTCAAACCCCATCAACATCATTACCACTAACACTACCACCACATAATGATAAGGTCACACAGTGTCAGGTAAAGAGAGGGAGTTGCGGTGAATGGACATAACTGACCTTGGTAGTCTTCCACAAGAATGACCGGCCCGCCAGGTAACATGCGTCGTTAGTTTACGGTACACAACAGGGGATATTATATATATATATATATATATATATATATATATATATATATATATATATATATATATAATATAATATATATATATATATATATTATATATATATATATAATATATATATATATATATATATATATATATATATATATATATATATATATTATATATATATATATATATATATATATATATATATATATATATATATATATATATATATATATATATATATATATATATATATAATATATATATAATATATATATATATATATATATATATATATATATATATATATATATATATATATAAATATATATATATATATAATATATATATATAATATATATATATATATATATATATATATATATATATATATATATTTTTTTTTTATATTATTTTTTTATTTTATTTATATTATTATTTATATTTTTTTTTTTTTTTTTTCAACAAGTTGGTCGTCTCCCACCGAGGCAGGGTGACCCAAAAAAGAAAGAAAATCCCCAAAAAGAAAATACTTTCATCATCATTCACACTTTCACCACACTCACACATTATCACTGCTTTTGCAGAGGTGCTCAGAATACAACAGTTTAGAAGCATATACGTATAAAGATACACAACATATCCCTCCAAACTGCCAATATCCCAAACCCCTCCTTTAAAGTGCAGGCATTGTACTTCCCATTTCCAGGACTCAAGTCCGACTATAAGAAAATAACCGGTTTCCCTGAATCCCTTCACTAAATATTACCTGCTCACACTCCAACAGATCGTCAGGTCCCAAGTATCATTCGTCTCCATTCATCCTATCTAACACGCTCATGCACGCTTGCTGGAAGTCCAAGCCCCTCGCCCACAAAACCTCCTTTACCCCCTCTTTCCAACCCTTTCGAGGACGACCCCTACCCCTCTTTCCTTCCCCTATAGATTTATATGCTTTCCATGTCATTCTACTTTGATCCATTCTCTCTAAATGACCAAACCACCTCAACAACCCCTCTTCTGCCCTCTGACTAATGCTTTTATTAACTCCACACCTTCTCCTAATTTCCACACTCCGAATTTTCTGCATAATATTTACACCACACATTGCCCTTAGACAGGACATCTCCACTGCCTCCAACCGTCTCCTCGCTGCTGCATTTACCACCCAAGCTTCACATCCATATAAGAGTGTTGGTACTACTATACTTTCATACATTCCCTTCTTTGCCTCCATAGATAACGTTTTTTGACTCCACATATACCTCAACGCACCACTCACCTTTTTTCCCTCATCAATTCTATGATTAACCTCATCCTTCATAAATCCATCCGCCGACACGTCAACTCCCAAGTATCTGAAAACATTCACTTCTTCCATACTCCTCCTCCCCAATTTGATATCCAATTTTTCTTTATCTAAATCATTTGATACCCTCATCACCTTACTCTTTTCTATGTTCACTTTCAACTTTCTACCTTTACACACATTCTCAAACTCATCCACTAACCTTTGCAATTTTTCTTTAGAATCTCCCATAAGCACAGTATCATCAGCAAAAAGTAACTGTGTCAATTCCCATTTTGAATTTGATTCCCCATAATTTAATCCCACCCCTCTCCCGAACACCCTAGCATTTACTTCTTTTACAACCCCATCTATAAATATATTAAAACAACCATGGTGACATTACACATCCCTGTCTAAGACCTACTTTTACCGGGAAGTATTCTCCCTCTCTTCTACACACCCTAACCTGAGCCTCACTATCCTCATAAAAGCTCTTTACAGCATTTAGTAACTTACCACCTATTCCATAAACTTGCAACATCTGCCACATTGCTCCTCTATCCACTCTATCATATACCTTTTCTAAATCCATAAATGCAATAAAAACTTCCCTACCTTTATCTAAATACTGTTCACATATATGCTTCAATGTAAACACTTGATCTACACATCCCCTACCCACTCTGAAGCCTCCTTGCTCATCCGCAATTCTACATTCTGTCTTACCTCAAATTCTTTCAATTATAACTCTACCGTATACTTTTCCTGGTATACTCAGTAAACTTATTCCTCTATAATTTTTACAATCTCTTTTGTCCCCTTTCCCTTTATATAAAGGGACTATACATGCTCTCCGCCAATCCCTAGGTACCTTCCCCTCTTTCATACATTTATTAAACAAAAGTACCAACCACTCCAACACTATATCCCCCCCTGCTTTTAACATTTCTGTCATGATCCCATCAGTTCCAGCTGCTTTACCCCCTTTCATTCTACGTAATGCCTCACGTACCTCCACCACACTTACATTCTGCTCTTCTTCACTCCGAAAAGATGGTATACCTCCCTGGCCAGTGCATGAAATTACCGCCTCCCTTTCTTCCTCAACATTTAAAAGTTCCTCAAAATATTCTCGCCATCT